ATCGTCATATGGAACAGACCAAGGCGCAGCGTGATGAACAAACATACTTTAATTAGTTAAAGTTTAAACACAATACAAAACAAGAAACGACTCGTGACGTCCAACGGTATCAATGACCGAACACGGAACAAAAACCCACAAACACAAAGAGAAAAAAGTATTTGATCCCCTGCTGATTTTGTACGTTTGCCCACTGACAAAGAAATGATCAGTCTATAATTTTAATGGTAGGTTTATTTGAACAGTGAGAGACAGAATAACAACAACAAAATCCAGAAAAACTCATGTCAAAAATGTTATAAATTGATTTGCATTTTAATGAGGGAAATAAGTATTTGACCCCTCTGCAAAACATGACTTAGTACTTGGTGGCAAAACCCTTGTTGGCAATCACAGAGGTCAGACGTTTCTTGTAGTTGGCCACCAGGTTTGCACACATCTCAGGAGGGATTTTGTCCCACTCCTCTTTGCAGATCTTCTCCAAGTCATTAAGGTTTCGAGGCTGACGTTTGGCAACTCGAACCTTCAGCTCCCTCCACATATTTTCTATGGGATTAAGGTCTGGAGACTGGTTAGGCCACTCCAGGACCTTAATGTGCTTCTTCTTGAGCCACTCCTTTGTTGCCTTGGCCGTGTGTTGTGGGTCATTGTCATGCTGGAATACCCATCCACGACCCATTTTCAATGCCCTGGCTAAGGGAAGGAGGTTCTCACCCAAGATTTGACGGTACATGGCCCCGTCCATCGTCCCTTTGATGCAGTGAAGTTGTCCTGTCCCCTTAGCAGAACCCCCCCCCCCCCCCCCCCCCAAAGCATAATGTTTCCACCTCCATGTTTGACGGTGGGGATGGTGTTCTTGGGGTCATAGGCAGCATTCCTCCTCCTCCAAACACGGCGAGTTGAGTTGATGCCAAAGAGCTCCATTTTGGTCTCATCTGACCACAATACTTTCACCCAGTTCTCCTCTGAATCATTCAGATGTTCATTGGCAAACTTCAGACAGCCCTGTATATGTGTTTTCTTGAGCAGGGGGACCTTGCGGGCGCTGCAGGATTTCAGTCCTTCACGGCGTAGTGTGTTACCAATTGTTTTCTTGGTGACTATGGTCCCAGCTGCCTTGAGATCATTGACAAGATCTTCCCGTGTAGTTCTGGGCTGATTCCTCACCTTTCTCATGATCATTGCAACTCCACGAGGTGAGAACTTGCATGGAGCCCCAGGCTGAGGGAGATTGACAGTTATTTTGTGTTTCTTCCATTTGCGAATAATCGCACCAACTGTTGTCACCTTCTCACCAAGCTGCTTGGCGATGGTCTTGTAGCCCATTCCAGCCTTGTGTAGGTCTACAATCTTGTCCCTGACATCCTTGGAGAGCTCTTTGGTCTTGGCCATGGTGGAGAGTTTGGAATCTGATTGATTGATTGCTTCTGTGGACAGGTGTCTTTTATACAGGTAACAAGCTGAGATTAGGAGCACTCCCTTTAAGAGTGTGCTCCTAATCTCAGCTCGTTACCTGTATAAATGACACCTGGGAGCTAGAAATCTTTCTGATTGAGAGGGGGTAAAATACTTATTTCCCTCATTAAAATGCAAATCAATTTATAACATTTTTGACATGCGTTTTTCTGGATTTTTGTTGTTGTTATTCTGTCTCTCACTGTTCAAATAAACCTACCATTAAAATTATAGACTGATCATTTCTTTGTCAGTGGGCAAACGTACAAAATCAGCAGGGGATCAAATACTTTTATCCCTCACTGTACATAAGGGCGCTCCAGCTGGTGACGCCTCCACATACAATTTAAGAAAATCATCAAGGATAAAACAATAAAGCTTAACAGCTTATTTCCATTGTGGTCCTTTTTATGAGGGAAGGGGGAATGCAACAAGGTTAGGTGGCGATTTTAATGGCAACAGACAATGACAGACACATTATTTTTTTTTTTCATAACATGAGATAATTAGTACAATTCCATTTCCTAATAAACAACTATGGACAGGTACATCTACCTTGTCTCATATACCCTTAATATATAAAACAATCAATCCCTAATATATACAAGACAATCACAATATGATAAACAACAGGCACCAAAAGGCAGACCATATGCTATCCCATGCATTTCCTTCTCAGCCACGTACTAGTATCTTACGACTCACTTATGAGACATGCTACTATTTAGCCATTTTTTCAGTGAGAACTTGAAACTACCTATGGAGGTTATACGTTTCAAATTCTTCGGAAGACTATTCCAAGGAATGGCAGCTGAGAATAAAAAACTTTATTTCCCCATACCACTTTGAAATCTAAACGTCAGTTTCACTTCTTCTAGTGGAATAGTTATGGTTATCCCTTACTAAGTTAAAGTAGTTACATAGGTACCTGGGGACCATACTGTGGACAATCTTATGTACAAGACACAATTTAATCTGAGCGACTCTCTCCTCCACTTTGAGCCATCTAAGGCTTTCAAATTAGGAATAGTCAAGATGCGTAAGTGCTGGTAATTGAAGAATAATCCTGACTAATTTGTTCTGTGATGTCTGCAATTAATTTTTTATTATCTTGGGGGCACTATTGTACCAGGAGATACAGGCGCCCTTCATCACTCAGTTGCTGGAGAGGAAGGAAACCACTCAGGGATTTCACCATGAGGGCAATGGTGATTTTAAAACAGTTACTGTTTAATGGTTGTGATAGGATATAACTGAGGATGGATCAACAACATTGTAGTTACTCCACAATACTAACATAAATTACAGAGTAATATAGTGCCCTCTAAGCTCATCACTAAGCTAAGGATCCTGGGACTAAACACCTCCCTCTGCAACTGGATCCTGGACTTCCTGACGGGCCGCCCCCAGGTGGTAAGGGTAGGTAACAACACATCTGCCACACTGATCCTCAACACGGGGGCCCCTCAGGGGTGCGTGCTCAGTCCCCTCCTGTACTCTCTGTTCACCCATGACTGCATGGCCAGGCACGACTCCAACATCATCATTAAGTTTGCTGACGACACAACAGTGGTAGGCCTGATCACCGACAACGATGAGACAGCCTATAGGGAGGAGGTCAGAGATCTGGCCGTGTGGTGCCAGGACAACAACCTCTCCCTCAACGTGACCAAGACAAAGGAGATGATTGTGGACTACAGGAAAAAAAAGAGGACTGAGCACGCCCCCATTCTCATCGACGGGGCTGAAGTGGAACAGGTTGAGAGCTTCAAGTTCCTTGGTGTCCACATCACCAACGAACTATCATGGTCCAAACACACCAAGACAGTCGTGAAGAGGGCACGACAAAGCCTATTCCCCCTCAGGAGACTAAAAAGATTTGGCATGGGTCCTCAGATCCTCAAAAAATTCTACAGCTGCACCATCGAGAGCATCCTGACTGGTTGCATCACCGCCTGGTATGGCAACTGCTTGGCCTCTGACCGCAAGGCACTACAGAGGGTAGTGCGTACGGCCCAGTACATCACTGGGGCAAAGCTCCCTGCCATCCAGGACCTCTATACCAGGCGGTGTCAGAGGAAGGCCCTCAAAATTGTCAAAGACTCCAGCCACCCTAGTCATAGACTGTTCTCTCTGCTACCGCACGGCAAGCGGTACCGGAGTGCCAAGTCTAGGTCCAAAAGACTTCTCAACAGCTTCTACCCCCAAGCCATAAGACTCCTGAACAGCTAATCATGGCTACCCGGACTATTTGCACTGCCCCCCCACCCCATCCTTTTTACGCTGCTGCTACTCTGTTAAGTATTTATGCATAGTCACTTTAACTCTACCCACATGTACATATTACCTCAACTAAAAAGAAGGAAAGCCTGCGTCCTTGCAATAAGGCACTAAAGTAATACTGCAACAAATGTGGCAAATAAATGAAGTTTTTGTCCTGAATACAAAGCGTTATGTTTGGGGCAAATCCAACATAACACATCACTGAGCACCGCTCTTCATATTTTCAAGCATGGTGCTGGCTGTATCATGTTATGGGTATGCTTGTCATCGGCAAGAACTAGAGAGTGTTTTAGGATTAAAATAAACAGAATAGAGCTAAGCACAGGCAAAATCCTAGATGAAAACTTGGTTCAGTCTACTTTCCAAAAGACACTGGGAGACAAATTCACCTTTCAGCAGGACAATTACCTAACACACAAGGCCAAATTTACACTGGAGTTGCTTACCAAGACGACATTGAATGTTCCTGAGTGGCCTATTTACAGTTTTGACTTAAATCGGCTTGAAAATCTATGACAAGACTTGAAAATGGCTATCTAGCAATAATCAACAACCAACTTGACAGAGCTTGAAGAATTTTGAAAATAATAATGTGCCAATATTGTACAATCCAGGTGTGCAAAGCTCTTAGAGACTTACTCAGAAAGACAAAGACGATTCTAACATGTATTGACTCAGGGGGTTGAATACTTATTTAATCAAGATACTGTATATTAGTGTTTTATTTTCCAATGTTAGAATTATTCTTCCACTTTGACATTACAGAGTATTTTGTGTAGATCGTTGACATTACAATAGAGCCCCACAGTGGAGGTGTCATAATACACATCAAATCTAGCGGTCAAACTGGGAGATGGTTCCAATCGTTTTTCCACTATTCATTGGAAAAACTATTGGAACCATTTCCCTGTTTGACTGCTAGGTTTTATGGGTATTATGACTCATACTGTGGTACTCTATTACATCTATTTTAGTCCCACTTTGTAATACAACAAAATGTGGAAAAAGCCAAGGGTTGTGAATACTTTCTGAAGGCACTGTACTTAGGTATTATTATATTTCCGATCACGAGTATCATCCGATCGGACTATTAACTGTCAATTTACAGATACGAATACGAGTATGGCCAGGTCGGCACACCCCTAATGAAGAGTGCCTTCGTCCTCCTTGTATTTTTATGACGCTACATATTTGTATTGTTAACTTACTTGTAAAGATAAACTTCAATGACTAATTTCATCCTCCTCTCCTCCTTCCCTAAGACCCTTGCCTGTACATCCCTCGTTTCGCCCACATGCTGGAATTTGGGGAGAAGACCCATGAAGTGTCCATGACGGCACTGCGCCTACTGCAAAGGATGAAGAGGGACTGGATGCACACGGGCCGCAGGCCCTCTGGGCTGTGTGGGGCAGGTACGTCGGTTGCCACGGGGATGAACTTTAGGACCTGGCCTAACCTTTGGAGTGACCAGTCTCTCCACCTGAAGGTCTCGATCGGCGCAATTATTCTTATGCAATAATTCCTGTCCAAAAGTGCCAGCATGACACTTTTAGAATAGACAGAATGCTAGAACCATAGATTCAACTGTTTTTGTCACTGAAACACTAGTCTTAACTCAGATTGAAGTGACAGTTAATATTCCTTTATGAATGTGTTGTGGGTCGCAGAGAAGCAACAATCATGAAAGGCTGTAAAGCCTACTCAGTACCTAGCCTGGAGTCTAAGAACACAGTGTTCAAAACCTAACAGCTTGAGACCCTTCTGCCCCCTAAAGCAGGGCATTTAAGCTTCTATTCTATTCTGCGCTGTGCAGTCAGCAAGATCCCATGGTTTAGGAATAAATAGCACAACAAGCTTCCTCCCCACGTGTAAAGTTCAGCTCTTCTGCCACCCGCCTTCCCTCCCCAATATCTGCTGCCTGCTGCGATATCTAAATAATTCATAATTTATTCATTAATCATTCAAAATATTTGGAGCAATGGAGGGGAAGTTTAGACGAGGACACGGTGGCTTTAAATGGCTCCTGTCCTCTGTCGGTGGAAGATGCGGTGTACAGAAAAGCTGTCTCCTCTATCCGTGAGGTCTGTTCAGATATAGAACGACAAAAGTGTGCGCAAGTGCAACGCGGTGACAGCACAACAGCCTCTTGTGTCTCTTCTCGCATGGAAAGAAGAGATTGGGTCTAACCTACTTATTGCAGTCCCAACCAGTGTGTACAGACCATTAGGGTATAGATACTCTGGTCAAAAACACTTGTCACGAAAAACAAAAGCTAAAACATGACACTGTCCCTATTGACAATTATGTCAATACTCATCCCTCAATCCTTCCTTTGCCCTTTTTATCTTTCAATTGTATTCCCTCAGGATTCTTTTGTTGGGTGCAAACATTTCACTTAGTCAAAGTTGATGCTTAAAGCCCTAAATCAATCTATCGAAGTGAGTCTAGCGCACAGCAGAAAAAGGGTACTGTACCTACACAAGGACTTCATAACACATTCAGAACCCATGCATACAGCATTCAAAAACAGTACATAAAGATTTTTTCATGTGTTATGGACTACCTCTGCTGCGACACGCTAAAGACTGGGCCATTGTGTAACTCCTCCTGCACCTCTCAGAGGAGTAAATTGATCTAGACAAGCATTCATTTTATTATTGCTGGCTAAACATAGTGGAGGCGGCGCACAGAGAAGAAAAAACGTGTACTTGCAGAGCAGGTAAAAGCGTTGGGCGGTATGCCAGTGTAGACCTTCACTGGTGCAGAAACTATTGAGTCAAGTAGGGACCCATTTCCAATACCACCAGTATCTTTGGAAGTTACACAACCCAGAGATATGGTTTATACAGTGTGTGTGTTTATTTGATTGTGTTTTAGGTAGTATACACTGTTTTCTAAATAGCTAATAAAAGTGTGTGTGCGTGTGGACGTATGCACTTGTGGCTTACTGTGGGTGATAGAGAAGATCCTATGTGTGTGTTTGTGTGTGTGTGTGTGTGTCCTTCTGTGGGTGAAAAAGAGAGGTGTGTGTGTGTTGGTTGATCACCGTGTCATCCCCTCCTCTTCCCCAGCCCTGCTGGTGGCTGCCCGGATGCACGAGTTCCGCCGCACCGTCAAGGACGTGATTGGAGTGGTGAAAGTGTGCGAGGCCACACTGAGGAAAAGGTACGAGCTAAGGAGGGGAGCAGATGAGGGCATGTCTCTGTCATGGCTAGAACCCTATTCTGGACAGGGCTCATATCCTCTCGCTATCCACCAAACCTACACTAGCCTAGCTTAGTAGCTTCCATCATGTAGGCAAATGCAGTTTGGTCCATTGAAGACTGTTGGTATACACTGTTGGTAAAGGCCTACACTTTCCCTAACCCCACACCCTAACACATACGCTGCTAGATGACCATGCAATCTCTGGGGTTAAGGTTAAAGTAAGGCTTGAAGTTGGTGGTAAGGTTTGAGTTAAGAAAGAAATACATTTTCAAAGTTATTTATTGCTTTTATTTGGATGTAACAAGAGCAAAATACAAATGTTTCAGCTGTTAGGCCATCATCAGTGTGTATAGAGAAAATGTATACATCCGTCCTTTGTAACTTGACCAGATAGTGACAACTCTCCGCCTCTCCTTCTGTTGTCAAGACTGACAGAGTTCGAGGACACTCCCACCAGTCAGCTGACCATCGATGAGTTCATGCGGGTGGACCTGGAGCAGGAGTGTGACCCACCCTCTTTCACTGCTGGACAGAGGAAGGTCAAGATGCAGGCGGTACGTTATCTGACTCTGTCCAGACATTGGCTTGCTTGCCCTGTCAATCACCTGTCAGTGTGTTTGATTGGCACAGCAGCATGTCTCGGATGGAATTGATAACCAGGCATTGGCTGGCTTGCCCTATCAATCACATGTCAGTTCGTTTGATTGGAACAACAGCGTGTCCCGGATGGAATTGATGGCCAGGCATTGGCTGGCTTGCTCTGTCAATCATATCTCAGTGCATTTGATTTGCACAGAAGCGTGGCCCGGATGGAAGGAGTTGACACTTGATTTAGAAACTTTTAGTTCCATGGCGTGACTCGTTCAGTTCTTACGACAAACGTGGATGAGAAGTAATCTGGTATGTGTGACCAGACTGCCAGTTTCCTTATCAAGTGTCAACTCATCCATCCAGAACATGCTGCTGTGCAAATCAAATACACTTCTGAAAGCACTATCCGTAAATCTGCAGTTGACTGAATCGTTTTTTTACCAAGGAGCTTTTTTCACTTTGACTCTCCCTTACCCCATTTTAGCTTGAACAGGAGTTAGCCAAGAAGCTGGATGAAGTGCAAGGTATGTTTGGTTTATATTGTGGTAATAGGTAGCCTCAGCGCAAGCGTTCCACAACCACAAAGTTTTGGAACTTTAAGACTGAGAGCGTTTTTGTTTAGACCTTTGGGCATTTTGTAAGTAAATAAAACACAAAACCTCATCAAATAATTGTGATGTAATGTAAAATGTAAATGAAATGTAAAATGTCATATAAAATGCATGTGATCAACTAGGTCACTGTACGATTGAGAGAATTGTAAATGTGAAAACAAACACTGTCATTCTCAGTTTCACTGTCTCTCTACCCCTGCAGGTGAAATCAGTTTGTACCGAGACGAGATCGAGACGGAGCTGGAGAACAGCAGGCCAAAGCTCAGAGGGATCTACGCTGCCTATGCCAAAGAAATAGGTGTGTGTGTGGCTGTGTGTTTGCTTGCGTGTGTGGGTGTGTGTGCCCACTGCCTTTAGTGTGTTTTTTTACTAACTCAACAAGAAGCACGTCTATGTGGCTTCTGTCGTTTTTTAATCAAGGCGATGCTGTAGGTCAGTCCTGACAAGGTGCTTCATCAGTGTCATGAGGTCACACTTTTGCCCTTTGAAAATGGCAGGCGGAGAACTGCGGATGATTGTCATTTTGAGTACTCTGAAAAGAGCAGCGTGTGTGTGTGTGTGTGTGTGTCTAAAGTACAGCTACGCACATAACACCTATGTGACTCAATCCCTGAATATGTGTATGTACTGTATATATCCCCAAGACCCATCCTCTCCCCTCTGACCCTCAGACCCGCTGGATGAGGTGCTTTCTCAGGCCTCATGCGCCAGCCCTAGGGAGGTGGACCCCGAGGAGGATGAGGAGCTGGAGGCAGTCGCCCAACACCTCAACCAGGACTTCCTCTGCCAGGTCATCCAGGGGGAGAAGCAAGGGGACGAAAGAGGGGGAGAAGGAGGGACAGAGGAGGCACCCCCTCCACCTCCACCACCCAGAGGAGGCCCCTCCCTGGCTTCCATCCTGGGTCCCCTGCCTAGCGCGGCTAGCCTGGGGCTCAGTGAGTCCATCCAGGAGTGCATCGCAGAGGACAAGGACAGCGGTGAGTCCAAGTTACATGGCCAAATCAAATCAACTCCATAGTGTTTTGGTATTTCTTTTTTGTTGTTGTTTTTTTTCATTGCACAATTGCTCCTTTCACTTCCATTGATTGTTAGCTAGCGGTGGCTTATGTTAGCTGAAGTTTGTGAGTCAGATGAACTAGTGGATACCATTTTTATGTCTCTGTGTCCAGTATGAAGGAAGTTAGAGGTAGTTTTGCGAGCCAATGCTAACTAGCGTTGTCGAAATGACTGGATGTCTATGGGTATCTGCTACCCATAGACTTCCAGTCATTACTTTAATGCTACTTACCAAGTGTGCTAGCGCTAGTTAGCAACTTCCTTCAAACTGCACGCAGAGACATTGCCAAAATCCCAAAGTATCCCTTTAAAGAAATGGATTTTAGTTTCTCCAGGCCCATAGACTAATTTTAGGGTGAGGAACCATCTAACATCGTGTAACCGTGTAATAACCCAAGATTCCCGTGCGTGTCGTTACCGCTAACCAAAATCGTCCGGGAAAAACCTTGAGCTGTGCTTGAGTGATATTGTGAGTCAACCACCAAACTGGTACGTAAACTAGTAATGCCAGTGGGCAAAACTGGTTGCAATAACGTCAGGGTGACGTCTTTTGTGATGTCACAGTCAGGTTGTATACTGGTTGTGAAAAGACTTCATTTAGATGTCTTTTTAGTGTGTCTTTCAGCATGACGTTTGGTCAGAATCTCCTATTGAGTGCTTGTCAGTCAAGTGATCCCCAAAGCGCTCTCTCTCCCTCTCTCTCACTCTCTCTCTCCTCTTTGAAAAGGTCTCTCACCCCTCTTAATAACTGCCATTTTGGCCTGAGAGTTCTCCCCACACCCCACTCACATCAGTCGTGGGTTGAGGGGTCATTCAAACACAACTTAAACACTCTACCCACCATACCCACTGACTCCCCTATAGCCCTGACTACTTTTGACCACATGCCTTAATTTGGCTTAAGAGGGCTCTATATTTTATTTAACATACCGGATCAATGATGTGAGCCAGACTGTGCTGAGCGAAAGGCTCTCTGGCTCTCTGCTCCCGGCTGGATAAAGGTATTAACTCCAGCGCATCCCACAGCCTCACTTAACCAATCAATACGCCCACCACCTCTCTCTCTAGCTGCTTTAAAAATTGCACCCTATACTCTATGAAGTGAATTGATGGGGCTAAGTCTGAATTTCTTGAAGTACATAATGTGTACTACAGGGATTGGAGTCCACCTGTGGTAAATTCAATTGATTGGACATGATTTGGAAAGGCACACACCTGTGTATATAAGGTACCACAGTTGACAGTGCATGTCAGAGCAAAAACCAAGTCATGAGGTCGAAGGAATTGTCCGTAGAGCTCCGAGACAGGATTGTGTCGACGCACAGATCTGGGGAAGGGTACCAAAAAATGTCTGCAGCATTGAAGGTCCCAAAGAACACAGTGGCCTCCATCATTCTTAAATGAAAGACGTTTGGAACCACCAAGACTCTTCCTAGAGATTTTTGTTGTTGTTATTCTGTCTCTCACTGTTCAAATAAACCTACCATTAAAATTATAGACTGATCATTTCTTTGTCAGTGGGCAAACGTACAAAATCAGCAGAGGATCAAATACTTTTTTCCCTCACTGTATTTATCAGTGCAGCTGCTACTACTCGCGCTAGGAAAATCTGCTTTTAGTTTTGATGCACCGTATTGATGGAACAAAATTCAAAATACATTTAATCTTAATGTACTGGTGCCGTTCGGGCAATTTAAAGTATTGATTGGGGACTTATTTGTGGAGGAATGTAATTGTTTTTCTGGGTGATTTCTGATGTTTTATTTGTGCTTACCATGACTGTGTTTTTGTATTTTATTTTGTGTGTGTATATATATATATATATATATATATATATATACACTACCAGTCGAAAGTTTGGACACACCTACTCATTCAAGGGTTTTTCTTTATTTTTACTATTTTCTACATTGTAGAATATAAGTGAAGATATCAAAACTATGAAATAGCACATATGGAATCATGTCATGACCATAAAAGTGTTAAACAAATCTAAATATATTTTATATTTGACATTCTTCAAAGTAGCCACACTTTGCCTTGATGACAGCTTTGCACACTCTTGGCATTCTCTCAACCAGCTTCATGAGGTAGTCACCTGGAATGCGTTTCAATTAACAGGTGTGCCTTCTTAAAAGTTAATTTGTGGAATTTCTTTCCTTCTTAATGCGTTTGAGCCAATCAGTTGTATTGTGACAAGGTAGGGGGGGTATACAGAAGATAGCCCTATTTGGTAAATGTCCAAGTCCATATTATGGCAAGAACAGATAATAACAGATAAGAACAGTTAAGCAAAGAGAAACGACAGTCCATCATTACTTTAAGACATGAAGGTCAGTCAATCCGGAAAGTGTCAAGAACTTTGAAAGTTTCTTCAAGAGCAGTCGCAAAAACCATCAAGCGCTAGGATGAAACTGGCTCTCATGAGGACCGCCACAGGAATGGAAGACCCAGAGTTACCTCTGCTGCAGAGGATAAGTTCATTAGAGTTACCAGCCTCAGAAATTGCAGCCCAAATAAATGCTTAACAGAGTTCAAGTCACAGACACATCTCAACATCAACTGTTCAGAGGGGACTGTGTGAATCAGGCCTTCATGGTCGAATTGCTGCAAAGAAACCACTACTAAAGGACACCAATAATAAGAAGAGACCTTCTTGGGCCAAGAAACACAAGCAATGGACATTAGACCAGTGGAAATGTGTCCTTCGATCTGGAGTCCAAATTTGAGATTTTTTGTTCCAACCGCTGTGTCTTTGTGAGACACGGTGTGTGTGAGCAGATGATCTCCGCATGTGTAGTTCCCACCATAAAGCATGGAGGAGGAGGTGTTATGGTGTGGGGGTGCTTTGCTGGTGACACTTTGCTGGTGGCCACAGCATTCTGCAGCGATACGCTATCCCATCTGGTTTGGGCATAGTGGGACTATCATTTGTTTTTCAACAGGACAATGACCCAACACACCTCCAGGCTGTGTAAGGGCTATTTTACCAAGGAGAGTGATGGAGTGCTGCATCAGATGACCTGGCCTCCACAATCCCTTGACCTCACCCCAATTGAGATTGTTTGGGATGAGTTGGACCACAGAGAGAAGGAAAAGCAGCCAACAAGTGCTCAGCATGTGGGAACTCCTTCAAGACAGTTGGAAAAGCATTCCAGGTGAAGCTAGTACGCAAGTATAAACACCATGGGACAGCGCAGCCGTCATACCGCTCAGGAAGGAGACGTGTTCTGTCTCCTAGAGATTAACGTACCTTGGTGCGAAAAGTGCAAATCAATCCCAGAACAACAGCAAAGGACCTTGTGAAGATGCTGAAGGAAACCGGTACAAAAGCATCTATATCCACAGTAAAACAAGTCCTATATCGACATAACCTGAAAGGCCGCTCAGCAAGGAAGAAGCCACTGCTCCAAAACCGCCATAAAAAAAGCCGGACTACAGTTTGCAACTGCACATGGGGACAAAGATCGTACTTTTTGGAGAAATGTCCTCTGGTCTGATGAAACAAAAATAGAACTGTTTGGCCATAATGACCATTGTTATGTTTGGAGGAAAAAGGGGGATGCTTGCAAGCCAAAAATCACCATCCCAACCGTGAAGCACGGGGGTGGCAGCATCATGCTGTGGGGGTGCTTTGCTGCAGGAGGGACTGGTGCACTTCACAAAATAGATGGCATCATGAGGAAGGAAAATTATGTGGATATATGGAAGCAACATCTCAAGACATCAGTCAGGAAGTTAAAGCTTGGTCGCAAATGGGTCTTCCAAATGGACAATGACCCCAAGCATACTTCCAAAGTTGTGGCAAAATGGCTTAAGGACAACAAAGTCAAGGTATTAGGGTGGCCATCACAAAGCCCTTACCTCAAACCTATAGAAGATTTCTGGGCAGAACTGAAAAAGCGTGTGTGAGCAAGGAGGCCTACAAACCCACTGGGAATGTGATGAAAGAAGTAAAAACTGAAATAAATCATTCTCCCTACTATTATTCTGACATTTCACATTCTTAAAATAAAGTGGTGATCCTAACTGAACTAAGACAGGGAAGTTTTACTAGGATTTCATGTCAGGAATTGTGAAAAACTGAGTTTAAATGTATTTGGCTAAGGTGTATGTAAACTTCCAACTTCAACTGTATATTGTGTATATTTATATTGTATTATATAGGGTGCATTTGGAAAAGAGACCTAGGTCTCAATATGTTTTCCCTGTTAAAATGTAAAAGTTAAACAATTTAAAAGTGCAGTACTTTTGACGAGAGCCCAATGGCTCATTAGACTCCCTTGTCAAAAGTAGTGCACTACATAGGAAATAGGGTGCCATTTGGTACAAAGCCTGTCTCTGCCTCAGTTTCAGTAGCTCAGTGAGGAGAAAGGCTGTAATGTTCCTGACCAGCGGTCACACTATGTGTGTGTGTGTGTGTGTGTGTATACACGTTTTACTATACTTGTGAGTACCACAAGTCCTCACAAGAATAGTAAACCAACAAAAATTCAGAGAAGTGAGAACATTTTGCTGGTTCTCACTTGTAAAAAGGCTATTTTAGGCTTATGGGCTAGGTTTAGGGTTACGGTTAGAATTAGGGTTAGAGATAGAATTAGGGTTAGGTTTAGGGTTAGGGGTTAAGGAAAATAGGATTTTGAATGGGAATTAATTGTTGGTCCCCAAAAAGTCCTCACAAGTATAGTAAGACATAACTGTTTTTGTGTGTGTGTGTCTGTTTGTGTAGAATTTGTCCTTGCATCCGCGTGTTTCAACAAATCGTAGAAAGAGGAGATACATTAGGCCTACATTGTATAGAGAATAGGTTCTAGACACTCAATACGTAAAGGGATACTGCGAGATTTTGGCAATTAAGCCCTTTACCTACTTACCCAGAGTCAGATGAACCTATGGATACCTTTCCCTATTTGTATGTCT